TTTTTGTTTTCTCAGATGTTTTGGCCGAAGTTATTGGTACATAAAACCAAACAGAGGTTAACAAAGATGACACAGATGCGGATACGCATGAGGAAACTTGCATTGAAGACAAGGTTCGTCCAAAAATTTATTTTGTTGAACTTAACTTCATATGTGTTCAGTTTTCTTGTTGAGATGGTTGTATATATAGTGGCCCTAGTCATTATCTTTCAGTAGATGCCATAAGCTTTGAGACTTTAAGCATCAGAAGTTCTTTGAAAGATAATTACATGTTTGATTAGAGTGTATCCAAAAGGTCTTCTTGGTTCTGCTTCACAAAATAAATGAAAATTCTGTTGCACTTTTTGGATAGTCACAATTTAGCCTATGTTTGATATATATCAGCTCTTAACGTGGTAATCAATATCATTTCTCTCTCTCTCTCTCTCTCTCTCTCTCTCTCTCTCTCTCTCTCTCTCTCTCTCGTTTTCACTACTTTTTCCCAGAGAGAAAATTATGACGGTACCAACTAAAGAGAAGAAAAGAGAAGCTAGGAGGGAAGAAAAGGCTGAGAAAGCTGCTGTATTGGAGAAAGTAAACTGACCTTCTCCCTTTTTTTTTTTTTGAGGATATTGATATTGGGTGTGTATAGTAGGCACCAACACTATGGTTTCTGTTTGCAGAGTATTGAAAAGGAGTTGATCGAACGCCTCAAACAAGGAGTATATAACGACATCTATAATTACCCAGTTAATGAATTTGACAATATCCTCGATCAGGAGATTGGGAAAAGTGCTCTTACTGAAGATGAAGAGGTGGTTACATTACATGGCAAAGCCTTTTGCACATATTTTATTGAATAATACGATACCCCTGCGACCTGTATCTTCCTAAATGCTCCTTTGAAATTGCCATTTGCAGGAACCTGAGATTGAATACGTCGAAGGCTATGAGGATCTTGAGGAGGAGGATGATATTGAGGATTTTGGTGGTATTGATCTTGGAGATGATGATGATGACAATGGTAAACTGTTCGGTTTATTTATTTATTTATTTTATTTTTCTTTTTTTTTTTGCCCCCTTCTGCAGGGACACAGAATGACATAATTACTTAAATAAACACTTATTTACGTATTCCTTGGGGATAAACACAGAGATATGATGTTTAGCCTAATTACCAAAAGAAATAATCGATGAAACAAGAAAGAACAATGGTTATTTTTCGAACATATTGTGTGAATTATTGTAGTTGTACCTTTTTTTTTTATGACCAGGCTGAACCGAACCATAGGGATATTTTTTGTAACTTACCCAATTCCATAAAATACGTTCATAGTTCATACGCACACATGTAACATATCTATAGGGTATGAACTTTTCGCTTTGTGAAAACTATGCACACTATGCTATAATACGCTATATATGATGACATGTATTATAGCATCCTGAGTGTCTAATAATAGCATTACACATAACATAATATAGCTAAGGTTCGTTGTTTTCACTCCATTGAAAAAAATCTAACTGGATCTTTATTATACATAAACGTTTTTCTGTTTCACGCACATTCTTCCTGAAAGTCTACAAATTTCAATGCTGCAGCTGAAATGGATAACGATGATGATGATGACGAACAGAATGTATTTAAGAGAGGTAGAAAGATTCATGGTAGAAAGCTGGAGAAAGAAGAACGAGATCCCAAATTGAAGAAGAAAGTCAAAGTACATGTTGAGGTAATTTTCCTCCTATAACTTCCCTATTTTCGTTCCTTTTCCTTAACGAAAAGGTGTTCATAAAGCATAAAGCTACATTTATCAATAATTAACAAGATTTATGATTCTCTTTGCTAGGTCGAGCATGAAGACGAGTTTGAAAGACAGACAGCTGTGCTTTAGAGTCTTTCACTCGTCTCTTAAATGGGTACTTACCTAATACAAAATTTTGGTCGAGGCAAGTTCATCAATGTTATTTTTTTTTTTTTTAGACTATATTGTAAAAGGAAACCTTCTCAATGATAAACGAGTTTTTGTGATCAGCTGATTGTATCTCACATGCTCGTTGGATTGTTCTGATCGGAATTAATATCGACGTGGACTCGTTTCTATTTCTAGTTCTTATTTATTTTCTCCTGAAATTTTTTCGTTTCGATTATGTCCCAGAATCTTGACATGAAATGAAAGAATTTCGCGATGTATTACAGATTCCTGTAATTTTTTTTTCTGAACTTTTCACCACTTTTTTTTTTTTTTTTTTTCTGAAAATTTTTATATTTATTCAGATTTTCAACTTGCTCTCTCCAAACGCAACCTATCAGACTATTGTCACATTTACAATGACGTCAATTCTCAACCTTTAATGGTGAAGGAAAATTTTCTCCACGTCTTTCTTTCCTCAATCAAAGCTCAACATGCCGACCAAATAGTCCTTTTTTCTTTTATTTTCTTTCGGAAAGAGATATCTACCGATAGTTTATCATATTTTTTTCGATAAATATGTATATTTAAAACCGAATTTTAATACTTTATAAACAATAAAAAAAAAATGTAATTTCATCACATAAAGTTTAAATTTTTGTTATAGTAATATGACAGACGATCCGCTTAACGGTTAGACAACTATTTTTTTTTTTCAACAATTATACATACTTTTTTAAATAAAATGTTATAATTTTGTAAAAGAATACAAAGAATACAAAAGTATGCAAGTTTTCAATAGACTTTCACAAGATATTTAGACCAAAAGCAACAAAAAATCAAGACAAGAAAGATTCACATAATCACCTGAAAATTTGGCTACTTTTGGCGCACCTAGCAAGGTGTGCTACACATGTTCATTTTGTAACGTAACATTCATTTTAAATTGTCTTGGCACACCTTGCTAGGTGTGCCAGAGCACACGGTAGTAGCACTGATCCTTTTCTTCTACTTTTTGCTAAAAAAAATTCTTTCTTTTTTCCCATACCCAAAAAAGTCCCTTTATTCCTTCTTTCTCTCTTTCCCACAAGGAAAAAAATATGATCTTTCTCATGTTATTTATTTCATCAACTGCAGTTTTACTACTGATAACACATTTTTTTTTTTTTTTTTT